CGTTTGCAACTATCATTATTTTTATCACCAGCTGCAACAACAACGAAACAACAACATAACCAAAAACATCAACTTCATCATCAACAAATCAACAACGACAAAGGGCAGGATTTGAAAGTTGGCACGGGTGGTTATGACCCTGGGGCTTCCACAAATGATATATACCCCCCTTCTTGTTGCATCGAACTTTTAACTCCAACCCTGAGTAAGTCATCGTCAACATAATCATTATCGTCGTCATCGTATATACCTATGTAAATCTATTTACCTATTCATCACGTTAACGCGTGCAATCATATAACCTTATGTAACACGTCATAAATACGTTCATTTCGTCGTTCCCTAAATAATTCACACTAAGAAATAAACACTTGTGCGTGTGTGTTTGTGTGTGTATGTGTGTGATTGTGCGTGTGTTTGTGTTGTGTGTGTGTGTGTGTGTGTGTGTATGTGCGTGTGTGTTTGTGTGTGTGTGTGTGTATGTATCTAAATACTTTTTGCATGGCTTGTAGATTTTTGTTTCTCTACTTAAACTAGGTGGGTTTAGTTAAAATGACGAGTTCTAATTGACTTAGTTGAAATGTGCATATTTGATTTTTTCATAGCATAATCTTATTTAAAATAGGGATTGTTTAGGAAATGGGTAGCACAAAAGTTTCTGTACAATGTAATGTGTTTGAAAATTATAAATGCCATCACATATTGGTTGTTGTGAAAAAGTAGTAAATGAAATGACATGTTGACATTAATGACAAAACGCAATGAACAACAAATGGTATTAAACATATCATATTATGTAACGTGACGATAATAATCAGTCGACACCGACAAATAATAATTAATATTATTGCTATGATCTGACCATTCATTAATACTGAGGAACATTAATGGTAACATTAACTAACTGTAAAACAACATGAAACACGACGAAATACATCTACATCAGCAACAATAACAAAAACGTCGTCATCAACAACAACAACTAAAACATCAACAGACAACGACAAACATGACGTCACAATCGAGATGCAGCAGCACTCAACAGCATCAGTGCCAAGCTTGCCTCCATCTTCCTACATCTCTCGCCATCTTGACAACAACATTTTAGTAACCATGGTAACTTGATCACATGATATACCGGCCTATCAGACATTAGCGACTGATTGCTGCTGCTGCTGCTGAGACAAATGTTCATATGTTGCTGAGACAAATGTTCAACATTGTTATTGTCTTCAAATGAGTCGTAGCTATTCATGTTGTAATTTTATCAAAACTCTTAGACACTAAATAAAATTGTTGCTAAAAATTAACGTAATAAAATGTTGAAGTTATTATTTAGAAATAAAATTTAAAAGCAAAGAATGCCTCGGAAATAAGCTAAAAAATATTGTAAAAAAAATAAAGAATAAAAAATTTAAAAACAATTTTTTTATCAACATTTCATTTCAGAATATATAAGACACACACCAGGATGAATTTTCAAATAAAGACGTTATTATTTCCTTCACAAAAATAAATTACTGCTTCAACATCATCATCAACATCATCGCCAATATCAACATCATCATCATCATCCTCAACATTCATAGTGTCACATAAGAAACGTTACATGGTTGTTAGTCACCATGGTAGCCAGTAACGAAACAAAAATGACGCAACCACCACCAAGATAAGGCGATACAATGATGGTGACTAAACATTTTTCTTCTTTAATAAACCTACCAGACAGAACTATTATAAACTCATGACTACTCCTCCCTTGCTAACAATACTTGAAGAAGGTTTTAAAAAAAATCGGTAATAAAAAATTGGTAAATAAACAAAAAGTTTGTTACTGAGAGAATAATTAAAACACCTTGCGTCATCGCCATTTTATCACGCACGCTTTTACAACCACCATCCATAGCTAATTATTATTTTATGACACTTGTGTGTATTATTATTATTATTATTTCGTTTATTATTATTTATATTATATTATCAATAACGAAACATTTATTGCTGGTATTGATGTGCTACTGCTAAAACATAGACCACTGCAAATGGCTAAAAGCCTCGAGTCACATTTATAATGATAGGAGTGGCCACTCCACGCGAACCAATACAGTTGGAAAATTAATACTTGATATTTCCACTACTGCTATTGTTGCTAATGCTACTATTTAAGAATGCCAATTAGTGATACTACTACTGGCCCTAATACACTATACTTTGTTATAACCACCACTACTGCTTTTATTTAGTAATTCTACTACTTCTGCAACTGCTGTAATGCTTCTGGAAATTTCACTGTTATTTATACAACTTTACTCTGATACGTGCTAACAACAACAACAACATTGATAAAACAATAGTAATAACAACAATAACAACAATATTAATAATAATGATGAGAATAAGAATAATAATACTAAATAATAAGGATTATCACTTCTGTTGAGTAACTCTTCATTACGTGCATTCATAAAAATAGAAATGTTGTGAGGTGTTGAAGTTTTATAATATCTTTCGTAATGGTTTTATTGCTACAATAACTACTACTACTACTTACTACTACTACTGCTACTACTACTATTACTACTAATACTACTACTACTACTACTATTACTACTAATACTACTATTACTACTACCACCACTACTTACTACTACTACTACTAACACATTCGATTCATATTGGTACAACGAAATATTGTACCAATTTTTATGTAAATTTTAAATAGTTCACCAATGACCGTTAAAAAAATACTAAATAAATTAATCGAACAATTCTTTATTTCGCAGCGATATTTTATTAAATGATCAAAAGTTTTAATAGATTAATTAAAACAATAGAAAAATTAAGGAGATAATTAAATCTCCAGTTACCATTTATAAACATCCATATTGATAATAATCACATGATGAAGATGTATTCAATTACGTTAAGATGTTTTTGGCGATACTCGATTCCGGTTCGTCACTCGAGATGCCAATCAAACCTTCGCGAGACTCTGATTGGCCGTTGATGAGAACGTTCTAAGAATACGTCATGGCGGCTTTTACCAATTTGTGATGGATTTTCAAATGAGTGAAAAAAAATGATCAGAAAAATATAGGATGATTGCACGCATGAACTGATGTAGATGTGATCACACCAATACGAAATAATCCATAGTAAGCATTAAAACATTGTTTGCAAATCTCTATGTAATAATCTTCACTTCAAATATTTTAATGAGCATACAAATTTTGTCTAACATTTTCAAAAAATGTTACGCAGATACAATCACCTGATTTTTTTTATAACTCAATTCAATTTGTAGTAGTATGTGTGTGTGCGTGTGTGTGTGCGTGTGTGTGTGCGTGTGTGTGTGTGTGTGTGTGTGTGTGTGTGTGTGTGTGTGTGTGTGTGTGTGTGTGCGTCTAGAAATAAGAAATAAAAAAAGTAAGAAAGAAAAAAAGAAAAAGAAAGAAATAAAAAAAGAAACGAGGAAAAAGAGAGGCATGCTAATTTATTTCATTGATGACTCTAATATAATGAAATTATGCAATTAGTTGCACAAATTTAGATTGCAAAGCTTAAGATAGAAGCGAGCGAATGTAATAGAAAGATAGAATTATAATGTATAGAAAGTTAAAATAGAATTTATAGAAAGATTGAATATAATGTATAGAAGGATAGAGAAGAATGTGTAGAGAGATAGAATAGAATGTTGTATGTGATGTTGCAATGCAATGTGATCCTGTGTAATTGTTTACACGCGCCATGGGAAGGATCAATGATTATCAAACGCCTATAAATAGGAGCGACCAGTCTCTAAACGTTGTCTATTCGCAGCTTTTTGTCTATCGCTTTCTTATTTGTTTGTCCGTTCATTCGTTCGTTTGTTTGTTCGTTCGTTTGTTTGTTCGTTCGTTTGTTTGTTCATTTGTTTGTTCGTTCGTTTGTACATTGGTTTGTTGTTTCTATATCTGGTTAGTTTATTAGTTTTTATTCAATTATTTACTGCGTAGAACTGTAATTGTCAATCAAAAATAAATGATTTGGTTGTTTATGTTATGCTTGAATTCTTCAAAACCAGCATACGAGATATGAAAGTGATAAAGATGAACTCATAAGAAGGAACTTGAGAATCAAGTTGTAAAGTTTAATGTTTGTCTCGGCATTATTAACTTAATTAAGTTTGTTTGATGCCTAACAACTTTGAAGAGGTCGTTTCATTTAATGATTCTACATAAAAATTTCAAGTGATTCAACGGTTGCGACAGGAATGTGTAAAATTTAAATCATCAAACTCTGACATTGTAAGTAGAAAAACTTCAATAATTAACATTAGATACATCGGGAGAAATACTTAAAACTGAAACTTACAATTGATGTTTTAACTGTTCTATATTATTACAAATTAATACTGTTGAAAAGTACATTGACACCAATTACACAAAAATAACTTCAATGTTAACAGCAGAAGAAACAACAAATAAATTGACAACAACAACAAAGCTTTTAAAAGATCAACCTACCAGCAGCGCTAACAACAACAACTGCAATATGGACATCAGCAGCACCAAATACATCAACAACTATGATAACATCGTCATCGACAACAACAACAACAACACAAACAAGTCAAACAACAACAACAACACAAACAACAACAGTATAAACATAACTAAAGGTTCTGCATTAATTCACAGACCTTTTGAAGATGGTCCCGTATTAATTAGCACACATCCCAGCAAGAAAGACATCAACATTGACAACACCAACAACAACAACAATAACAACAACATTAACAACTACTACACAATTAAATATCAAACCGACAACAACAACAATTTCAACTTAACGTCCAATCATTCGAATAATACATCAAATGGCATTAAGTATGTTGATGACGCCACTGACAGCAATAATGATGACGTCAAATATTGTGGTGACGATGACGAAGAAGACGCAAAGAAAGAGAAAAGGTGTTTGGAGAGGAGTAAAAATGATGAAGAAGATAACAGTGATAATGGAAATATAACTGATGACGATGTTTCAAACGAAAAATATGAAGTATGAAGAAGACTTGTTAAGATTGTTAATAAATAATTCAAATAAGATTTTTCATGCATTTTTTACAGAAGTTATACAAAAAGTTTTAATTTAATTTGCTTCTGTTAAATTTATATTTTGATAAACTTTTTAATAAAAATGCACACAGGGCAGAGAAACAAGGCTAAGTAAGAACAAGAATCGAAAATTCAATACGTCTTCAGAAAGTAAAAATGCTGGTGCCGCTGAATCGAAAAGTAAAATGATTAAGACCAATTGTGAAGAAGATGATGATGAACATGATGGGGATGAACTGAATAGCAATGACGACGACGATGAAGTTTTTGGTGAGGAGGACGATGACGACGATGACGACGAACGATATTACTACTTCAGAAACCACCCAGATCATTATAAAAGTAAATAAAGTGTTTTACTTTGTATGAAATAAATTTTATCTTATAACTGAAATTACTTTAGTATACAAAATTTATCCAGTTATTCTTAAAACTATAAACAGATATCTCTACATCGCACTGCGACTATAACGGCAACAAAAACCACAAACACAAAACTAGCAGCAACAATAATCACCACACTAACTTCGACAACTCCAACAACAACAACAATTTCAACATGCAACAAGACACTCTTGACGTCATGGATCACGATGAGGTTTCCATCACTTCCACCTCACCAAGCTGTTCTTATTCGGAAAACACATTGACACAAATTAACGGAAATAATATTGTTTCCTCTGCAAACAACAACAATAACAACATAAGTTCCAATAACACTAACAACAATGTTAACACCTCCAACATCAACACAAACAACTACACTACCAGCAGCAACAACAACAACTTCAACAGTACCTACCAACAATACGATGACAACCAGCTACGCCGATATAGAACTGCATTCACAAGAGAACAGCTAGCTAAATTGGAGAAAGAGTTCTTGAAGGAGAACTACGTATCGAGACCACGGAGGTGTGAGTTGGCTAGTCAGCTGGACCTTCCTGAGTGCACCATCAAAGTGAGTTAGGGGTAAAAATTTGGAGAGAGATGATGATGGAAAGGGTGGAAAGTTTTTTTTCAATGAAGTTTTTTTTTATATATTCTTTGATTGTTTAATATTTTATTCAATATTTATGACTTAAAGTGGGGTATTTTAAATTTGTGAAATATTACTTCGAAAAATTTTTTATAATTGTTTATAGGAATAAAAATAAAGATAAAGCGCTTTATTTTTTTCCCATTTGATCGTCAACGACCTACTCCCCTACATGGCAGGTTTGGTTTCAGAATCGTCGAATGAAGGACAAACGACAGCGCATTTCAATGGCCGCCTGGTCTTACGGAGCCCTCTCCATGTCTCACCCTCCCCACGCCAGCCATCCCCACAATCTGCCCCCCAATGACATTTTTTGTGACCCATCTGGAGTCAACTTTTACGCTACGTATGCCATGAACGCCGCTGCTCTGGCTCGATATTCGTACGTCAGCAGCTTCCGCGCAGGTGCTCCGTACTGGGAGTTGCACAACAGGAATGAAGGAGTTGTAAACAACGGCAGTGCTAACTGCAGTGCCAATGATATCAACGCAAGGAACAACGTTAACAATTTTGTGAATGGTTTTCAATCAAGAGATTCGATGTTCATGGAAGAAGGTGATGATATTTTTCAGAATAAAGACAAGAAAAACAATCACTACAAGAACGATGGAAACAGTGACGCAGTTTTGAACAGCATGAAATTAAACAATTCAGACAAGTGCTCATCATCAGCATCTTCGTCATCACCATCCTCACCAACTGCCGCATCTCAGATACTCACTGACTGGTTTAACTCAACCAAATATCCCACTTCAAAACATGGCGCTCACTTGATGGATGAAGCTGATGACAACAAAAAGTTGGATTCAGCGAAGGAGAATGGCGACAACGATGGAAAGGAGAAGAGAATCCACAAATGTATCCAAGCAGAGGAGAGTGAGAACAAATTGAATTACCAGGATGTTGATTGTAAAGTGAAAAAAATTTCAACGTTAGGTGAAGCATTGTCGAAAGAAGATGGTTTAAAATTAAACTTAAAAAATGAAGAAAAACTGACAAATTATTTATTGTCGAGATTCAACTTGAATCAACATTCCCATCACAGCCACATCCATCAGAGACAAATGTATCTCAAACAACTCCAACACCAACACTATCAACAACAACAGCAGATAATGTTGCAGCAACAATTACAACATCATCGACGACACCAACAATATTTGAAACAATCAATCCTATCTGAGAGCACTCTCAATCTCCCACATTTGAGCCACTGTTTGCCAAGCAACGATCACACAACGACTGAGGACTTCAACAAAATATGCCATAACAACCATCTGATCCACAATCTAAAATCCTTGCCGACGGACCTTCCACTGCACAGTCAGTTCATCAGCATGTACAGGTACGGACTGGCGAACGAACTTCTTAAAAGTAACTTAAATGTCGACATGTCTGACTACGAAAAACTGGTTTCAAAGTCACTGCAACCATCATCGTCTTCATCATCCTCTCTTCCATTTCCTTACACTCCATCGTCTTTACCCTCGTCAACAACGACAACCTGGGAACCACTGGATTGTCAGCACTTGTACGGATCTGTCATTCCGGCGTGTGGGAGCAGTGGCAATGGGCAGAACGGAGAGGCAGGAACCGCGAAGTCAGCTGGAATTCCAAATGAAAAATCAAACTCGCAAAGACACAGTCACAGACATCACAATCATCATCATTATCATAACCAACAACAACAACATAACTCCAATCAATTTCATCATCAGTCACATCATCAACAACACCAAAAATTGATACTCGATAGCGCAAAACTCAAGCATTTGAAGGTAGAAAAATAACATTGGAGAAATCTCAACCAAGTCTCCTCCAACGTTACCTGCCATCATTCCTAACAAGATTTTTCAAAATTCTGTCGATTCTGTCTTTACTGCTTGTTACTGTTCTTTAACATTTCAATCTCACAACAACAAAGAAGAGAAATTGTGATTGTTATTAGTTAGTTATCGCATGCGTTGACGAGACATTTTGGTAGCTAATTCATAACTTTCGTCGGGCCAATTTTCTTTGGTTGTTTCGGTAGATTTTTGAAAATTTTTCATCAGCTAACCACCAGAGAACAAGTTGTAAATATATCAGGACAAATAAATGTAAAATATTACAGTAGAATAATGAATATGTGTTTATACGATCGTGAACTGTATAATTATATATATGATACATTAGTGAGTTAGTTATTTAATGTATTGATCCTTCCAACTGTTTTCCAGTGAACCTTTATTTTAAATTATTTTATAGTTCAGTTTTTTTTTTAGTTATTTAATGTATTGATCCTTCCAACTGTTTGCCAGTGAACCTTTATTTTAAATTATTTTATAGTTCAGTTTTTTTCATATTTATCGATAATTATGAACACAATATTTTGAGTAATATAATAAAAAAATAAGCAACTTTTTTATTGAATGAATTTGTAAACAATTTTATTGTTTTCAATAAACGATAATGAAACAACTTTCTTCACAAAAGTCTAACAACAACTTTTTAATTAAAATAGCCATCTTTTTAAAACAAGTTTTTTTGCACAACAGATTATTATCATTGTATTTAACGCAACGATTATTGTTTATAATAAGACTTTGTTGATCTGAACACACACACACACAGACAAACACATAACACAGGAAAACACACATGCCTACACATAGACAAAAACACACAAGCACACAATGCTTTAAACTAATAAAACCCAATAAATCATTTACACCCAGCAATAATTTGAAACCAAAAAATAATTTATATTTTATACACGGATTTTTAATCTGTAAAACACAAATATTTACATTTAATGTGAACATTGAAAAATAAGTCATTAATGTTAGCAGCTGGTTGATTGATCAAAAAGTTATGCAGTCAATCAGCCAGTCCTTCTATTGAGACCTTAAATTTCGTTAGCTAATTATTGGATAGATAGATAGATAGATAGATAGATAGATAGATAGATAGATAGATGGATAGATGGATAGATGGATAGATGGATAGATGGATAGATGGATAGATGGATAGATGGATAGATGGATAGATGGATAGATGGATAGATGGATAGATGGATAGATGGATAGATGGATAGATGGATAGATGGATAGATGGATAGATGGATAGATGGATAGATGGATAGTTATGGATAGATGAAGGAATGGATAGTTGTAAAATTTTAGATTAATCGATGAATGGATAAATGAAGGGAAGGATGGATAGATAGATGGTTGGAAGAATTGATGGATTAAGGATGGATAGGTGGATGAATTGTTAGTTTTTTGAAGTTAATCTAAGAAGGATTGTTTAATTTGTGGTGAGTTAAAAGTATAAATTATTTGCCAGTATAAACAGCAGTTACATTCAATAAAATTCTGATTCAGTTGATTTTGAGATTGAAAAATTAAAAAATAAATTTGGTGTTTGAAAATATATCTTAAATTATTTTTAATTAAAAAAATAGAAATAAAATCCAAACAAACGTGAAAGCACTATTGGAAAAATAACACACTGATCTTATGGCATGAGGAATTTAAATTAACAAAAATGAAATTTAGAAAGTTTCCTGACATCTAACGAAAGTTTTTAATTTTTCAATCATTTCAATCAGATTTAAATAGAAAATTGAGATCAGTCGTTATAAAACTTGAAATAAAGAATAACAAACAATTTGCATGAATTAAACTTTTAATAGTATTTATTATATTTTCATCATCAATTAATGTGAGATAATTATTTGAAAATGTTAGAATAATCATTGTAGATAATTTTCAACTCGTCAAATTTAAAAATAGGTTATTTTTCAAATTCTATCTATTAATTAATTCTATCATTTATTCATTCATTTAATCATTCATTCGTTCGTCTGTACAATCAAATAATAATGTTATAAAATCATTTTCACTACTATTTAAAAATTGAATTAGGATATAAACCATGGATATAAACAAATTAAAAATAGAAAAAGGAAAATTGTCCACAAAATTAATTTCACATCGTAACAAACAACAAACAAACAAACAAACCAACAAACGAACAAACGATTAACAAGCTGGTTTGTTCATTTTTTAAAAAATAAAGTAACAAAAACGACAATTATAAAGATAAAAATTTTGTAATATTTAAAAATAATAAATAAACATATAAAAACAATTTTATTGGAAATTGTCAGCGAGGCAAAAACAAAAAAGAATTGTTCCAAACCACACGCAAATGAAAATCACCCTAAAATGAAATCTTCAAAAATAGCAAGTCCCATCGTACATGAGGAAGAAAAAAAATAAACAAACTCAACAATTAAAATTTCAATCAATCAAATATAAACCCAAAACATGAAAAAAACAACAACAAAAAACTTTTTAACAGCCAAAAAAACCAAATAAGAACCAAATCTAAAAAATTTTTAAATTTTCAAAAATTCTTAAGAGCCCTGCTGAATGTGGTGTCGATCTTTACAGTGTTGGGCGAGGTTCATAGGAGACACAAAGCCCTCGGAGCACTGGCTGCATTCGTTCCTTGATTTCAAGACATGGATCTGTGACTTCGTGTGTCTATTCAGATCTGACTGAGTCACTCCTTTGTAGTTGCACAAGTGGCAAACGTACTGTCTGATTCCTGATGTTGTTGTTGATGATGATGATGGAGTTGGTCGTGATGATGATGGTTGTGAGTTTTTGTTGTTGATGATGATGGAGTTGGTCGTGATTATGATGGTTGTGATGAAGATGATTATGATGTGATGATGATGAAGATGGTTGTTGTGATGATGATAGTGGCTGCTGTGGTAATGGTGAAGAAGTTGGTAATTTTGTTGATGTTTTAGAAAATTATGGTTGTGATGGTGATGATACAGATGATATAAATGGTACGGATGATACAAAAGATACAAAACATGCAGACGATTTAAAAAAGATATAAAAAATCCCAAAGATACAAAAAATACCAAAAATATAAAAGATACAGATGATACAAATGATACAAAACATTGAAATACCTTGATGCCTCATCATATGAACCTTCAATTGACTGTTAGTTCTTGCGTAGTAACTGCAGAACTTACATTTGAACGGTCTTATGTCTGGAAGTGAGATAAACACGGACACAATTATTATAATTAGTTTGCAGACTATAAAAACTAATCATCATCATATTTTGCGAAAAAAAATTAATTTTTTTTTCATTATATGTTAATGGTAAATTAAACTTCAGAAAAATATGTCATTTAGAATGAAAAATTCGAAGAGAAGTTTTCAATAATTTGTAACCATCTAAAAGACACATAACTTTTATTATTTTTAATAATAATAATAATGAACATAATAATAATAATATCATTAATATTACATATCATACGTATCAGAGAAACATGCACACACACTGCATTGCAATGCGTGTGCATGTGCATGTTCACACATTCAACAACATTCTGGTAGACACATTCAAACATTGCAGGAAAGATAAATTAACAAACATTTGGCAAATCGTACATACCTAAGTTGGTGAACAAACGAACAAACAAACGAGCTAACAAAATAAACAAACGTATGAACAAATAAACGAACAAACGAACGAACGAACAAACAAACAATAAACAAGTTACCAAATAACGGTAAGATGAAGTGACGACGACAAACACATTAGCAAGCAATTAAGAGAATTTAACTTTTCCGTTGTTAAATATCACCCAAAGATCGTTGTGTGTGGCATGTGTGAGTGCGTGTGTGAGTGCGTGCGTGTGTGTGTGTGTGAGTGCGTTTGTTTGTGTGTGTGTTTGTGTGGTGTGTTTGTGCGAATTTTTATGTGTTTATTGTATATGTTATCCTTCTCGTTTAAAAACCACGAAATTAACATATACGGATGTCCATAATAAATACATTAAATACATGCTATGAAAGTTGAGACAAACAACCGCAACATAAATATATAATTAAAGTGACAAGACTGCAATAAAGATGCACATACACGGGTAGAGACATACCCACAGTTATATAAAAATACAGATACACGGACGGACAGACAGACATAAACACACACGCAGAAATACACGCACTGACATACAAAGTGACGGATCCAGACAACTTTGACAGGGTGGGGGGGTCAGAAATAGGAAAATGTTGACAATTTCACGGGGGGCCAAAATTTTCACGAGGGGTCTAAAAATTTTTACGGTGGGTCAAAAGTTGTGGTAGTGTGACTGACAAAGTTTTTTTGGCTTATCACATTCAATTTTTGACCCTTCCTACGCATAAAAAAGTCTTTTTTAGAACTTTTATTAGTTCGATAGTTTATTTATCCGCAACTGGACATTCCTGTAAAGACGCAGAAAAACATACAACACATGAATAGTCAAACTGACACACACATACACACACATGTCGACAATCACCGAACAACACACATACATACACACACACCACACACACATAAAGACACACACACCACACACACATACATAAGTCGACACACACTCACACACGCACATAAATAGATAGATAGCAATAAAGGGCAATGAAAAGGGCGATAATAATTAATCTATTAATTGTGTTTCAAGTGCCAGTGCAAGTGCTTCGATCGGTGCATATCACTAATGCCATTGTTGTTCTTATTACTAACACAACAATACTGCCACTACAACTACTACTACTGATAATTGTATATATTAGTTATGATGTTGTTGCGACTATTTTCGTTGTTGTGAGTTCATTTCATTGCAAGTTTTACCTCTAAAAAGAGTTGCAGTAACAGAAAATTATTGAAATGTGGATAAAAACCAGTTCAAATTATCGAAAAAACTAAAAAAAAACACAAACAACAACAACAACATAGCAAAACAGACAACAAAACCAGCAAGTACAAATTAACAAGAGCACCGTAAAGTAGCCAACTCATAGTAATAAACATTACACAACGAGAAACAACGGCACAGCACGGCACAGCACAACAACGTTACATTTAAAATTTCCACAGAACAATTTAGCGAACAAAGAAAGAAAATACAAACGCGCGAGCAATCGTACCTACATCATTGTGTACAAATGCTAATGCGTGCCTTTTTTCCGTGCGTACGTGCAAATAAGTGTGTGCGTACGTGCGCATGCATCGCCTATGTAAGTGCGTTAATAAAGGGTAAATGAAGATATATTTGCAAATGAATGTCTGTGAGTGCCCGCCTTCACGTGTTTGTGTGTTTACAACAAATGAGTGTTGTGCTATAATGATACACACGTACGCAAATATGCATCGATGCCCATGTTTTCGTTTGCATTTTTTTCAGTTTTTTAATCTAAAATTTTGTTCTATTGTAGGATAGGCTAGTGTGTGTGTGTGTGTGTGTGTGTGTGTGTGTGTGTGTGTGTGTGTGTGTGTGTGTGTGTGTGTGTGTGTGTATACAGTGCCATGCCGGAATGTGTATGTAGCCTAACCTTTTTTGAATTTTTAATAAGCGCATGTAGGTACGTTTTAGAAAGTGTGAACAAGTTTGAACGTGTTTCTGTTCATTTGTTTAAACGTTTTCGGAAACGAGCGTTCATCGGCGGCATGTTCCTTTACAAACGAACGAAGGAACAACAACAAACAAGGAATCGAGCAACGTATACTATCTCTCTCACTAAATTCTTCCATCCAGTTACATTATACCTAAGCATTGTTTACGTTCATTATAATAAAACGTTCTAATTATTACCAGAGCAAAATATCTGCGTGCGTTGGCATGCGTGTGTTCGAGTGCTGCCTGTGTGCTGGCGTCAGTGAATTAATGCATTTGCGTGCATTTTGTGCGTATGAATGTTTGTATGTTTGGTCTGTGTATCAGTGCATGCTAATGTGTGCATTGTGTGTGAATGCTTGGTGGGTGCACGTTTGTGTTTTTGTGGCTGAGCTACCATCCCACTGTGTGTGTACGTACGTAGGTGTCTGAAATGCCTGCATCTGCATTTATGCAGTTTTGTGTGTTATTTGCTTCTTTATAATTATACTTGTGTAGATTTTTTTGTGGAGCTCTCACCTTTTTTATACAGATTTAAGTACATGATTGTGAATATGTGCGCTTAGTTTTCAAAGTGTAGCAGCTTGTATTTCGCAAATGTTTGAACGTTCGTAATTGTTCACACACCTACGTGTATTTATGACATTCATCGTTCAGCGTTCAGATACATGAAGCATGTGGAGATGAGACTATTATGCAACACATTCATTCATTCGTTCATTCATTTGCTCTTTCGTTCGTTCGTTCGTATGTTCGTTCTTTCGTTTATTCATTCATTCATTGAATGGCTTCCTCCTTTTAGATATTCCTCTACAAAATGAAATGAATTTAATCCCGGAATGTTCTACTTAGAATGCACCGAGACAATTGTTTAATTGTCTCACCTTTTAAAAGTCATGAAGTATTGTTTGTTTGTTTGTTACACCTCTGTGTGTGTGTGTGTGTGTGTGTGTGCGTAAAAGCAGGTGTGCGTGTATGTATATATATATATATATATATATATATATATACGTGTGTGTGTGTGTATATGCATCGTTTGTGTGAATAATCTGTGTGTATGAGTATGTTTGTGGTGTCATGTAAGTGTCTGTTTGTGTGGTGTGTGTGTATCAAATCAAATCAGTTGATCAAGTGTTTCAAAAGTGAATAGAGGCTAAAAACTTTTTCATAATTTGACAATATAAAATTTTATTTTTATAAATAAACCATAAACTGGATTTGTTAATTCTTCAAAACAGGATTTGATGAGTTGCGAAAAGAACGATCTAACCGAAAAAAGTCATCATTAATTTCTCTGCTACTGCTATTTATAGGACGGATTTGTTATTAAATAAGTGCCGCCATTGCAGAAATACATTCGCCAAGGCTGTCATCAACATCATCCTGATTAATATAAATACCTGAAAAAATGGCAGTAGTGGAAAGAAAAACAGGCGAGCGGTAATTGGATGTGGATTGCAGTGTGGTTCATGCCGTGCAGATGGAAATTTGTATGTTTTCCATGTGGTTTTTGCGTGTTCAACACGTGTAGAGGGGAAAGTTTAACTCTGAAAAAAGGGTGCTTAGAGATGAATTAACTTATTGAAACTAATATTAAAGAGTGGTATCAAAGTGGAAAGCCTGCAAAATGCAGAAACGAAATTCTTATTTGGAAAAATATAAAAGTATGAAAAAAAGTAAGAAAGAAAGCAGAGAGGTTTGGTGCTTAATAAAATAGTTTTCGGCGTTTTGTCCCGCTATTCCGATGCAGAAATATAATTAAAAAAGTTCTCCGCTAATTTCTAACTTTGTAAAAAATCATTTTGTTTAAACTGCAAAAGTCATAAATTTGTATCAATTTACCGCTAGAAAAAGGAACGTTTTCTTGTCTTTTTACACGTACCAACCAGCAGAACTACACAAAATAGAGAAAGGGAAAGAGAGATAAAAAGAAAGAGAGAGTGTGAGAGAGAGAGAGAGAGAGAACCCGTGAAATGAAGAAATGAATGAGACAGAGTAGGAAACTGATTGATAGATATCTAACAATAAACATCACACAATATGCGGTATGTTGTTAGTAACAAATTAGAGATGTGTGTGTGTGTGTGTATGTGTGTGTATGTGTGGCAAGGCAAGCAGATGATGTGACTGCTACACAGATGAGTGAGTGTATCCTACACTTTTGCAGTAGAGGAGAATTTAAAAATAATTAGGAAAATTCTTGTGGATAGTAAATAATTTAAAAATTTTTCAGAGTTATTTTCATTGTTAGACAAAGGAGTGAATGATCGCCATTATAACGCTAACTGATATCATTAGCTACTAAGACGAATATATCCCGCTAAATATTAAATGCTTCAAACAATTCTCAGGTTTTATTGAAAACATTACAATAAATTTTAATTCATACAATATTTATTAACGTGAACTTTTAAAATGTTTAGAGACCACTTTTGGTCTGAAAAGAAGTAAGAAGAAAACTAATTTCTAGTCAGTTCATTAAAACTTCCAGCTAGGCAATTTATTGTCATTAAGAACGAATGAAAGTTAAGAAATTTAATTTTAAAAATAAAATTAATATTCATTTTGCTCTTAGTTAATAAAAAATTGGCGGGAGAAATAAAATGATCTTTTTTTTTGCATGAATAGAAAAAATCGTCAAGCCATACCAATACAGAAACAGATTAATTATTCTTTATTTGCGTTCAGGATCACATATCTTGCGTATGTTTACACGTGCGTCTGTTTCACCGTTGTTGATGTGGTGGTGGTAGTGGTGGCGACAGTGGCGTTCAGTTCAGTGCGTGTGCCCATACACGCATGCGTATGTGTGCGTTTCTAATGCGTGCACGAGCAAGAATAACAATGTGAGTGAACGAAACCTGAGTAATGTTCATATGTGCAATTTTGGATTTATGCTTGTGTGAAAACGTTCATTCGCATTTTTATACCATATTTATATACCATATTTATATATATATATCTATCAATACATTCATTCAAAACATAGTTTATTGAGTATGATTTTCCATTTACAATTTTAAATCTATACATATAAATATAAATTATATATATATATATATATATATATATATATATATATATATATATATATGTATGTATATAAGTATAATGTAGACTACATATATGACTGAGGGACGCTTGCGTGTGCGTACGGAAGATATGTGGTTTAATAAAGTTCTTCAGCATTGACACACGCAATAACACACACACACACACACACACACACACACACACACACACGTACACTCACACGCACTGAAAAACACACACACGCACACGCACGCACTGACAAACACCGACAAACACACACACATTCAGACACACGCACACTCACAAACACACATTTACACACACAGACGTACACACAGACAGGCACGCGTACGTACATCTGCAGTGCAAACGTGCTTTTTCCTTTGTTCGGTGAATCTTTTCAATCGTTTAATTTTGTTTATACGTTTGCATTTTTGTTTATACGCTGCCGAGCCAGCTTGCGCTCCATTACTTTTTTTCCTTTACTACTGACTGCTCATTTTAATTTATTATAGTACATTTACAGTTGAATAGGGTGGCGAATTTTAATCCCATGCATGTCTCCACCGTGCATGTCTCCGTGCATGGCTCATGCATGTCTTCATGTATGTCTTTCTGTATGTCTCCATGTATGTTTCCATGTATGTCTTTCTTTATGTCTCTATATATGTATTTTTTTCTTGTATTTTTGTCTCTATTTTTTAAAGTAATTGGTTATTATAAACTTGCATGTATAAAAATGAAATTCTTTGAAATGTGTGACGTGTGAATTTCATACACTTCTTACTCCCACTCATTTTGTTATACTTACCTACTCACAGCAACACTTCACAAAAGGGATGATGAGTGTGATGGGAAGATAACCCGCCTGCTGTCTGTACGAATGTACGAATATTTCGTTTAAAATCATTTAGGATACTTTATATGAGTGTGTGGTTGAATGCGGTTCATCATAACTGTCGATGTATCCATGTTTTTGTTTGACAAAATTTTACACACGAAATGATGCAAGTTGGGTAGAGTTTTTTTCAATTGAAAATATGCATGTATGTACTTAAGCATGCATTGTATATGTATGTAAGTATGCATGCATGTATGTAAGTATGCATGTAAGTATGCATGTATGTTGTATGTATCTCGATTGCACTGTCTGAGTTTGCGTTTGAATGCAAGGATCGATTACATACGAGTCGATGGTTACGATTGAAAGTTCAAGTTATTACGTAGCTTTAGTTATCAGGTTCAGCACAAACATGTACGAATGAAGCTGTACAAAAATTGACTAAATAATAAGTAAAAAAACAAATAAATAATCATACACAAACAAACAAACGAACGAACCAACGAACAAACGAACGAACGAACGTACGAAAAGCAGACAGAGAGCATTGTATTTTCAATTTGGTAGGGGCGGTCAGTTCAGTACATGATATTACTCCGTCTTATTTTTTCTAGATTTACAAGCGTACAAGAAGCACACATACACGCATAAATACACAAACACACACAAACATACTTAAACACACACGCACACACACACACGTAAATAAAATTTCAAGTATATTATCATACATTATTTAGGCACGCACACGTATGGTACCGATTTCTTTGGTGCATTTTTTGATTTAGCGTTGGCTGAAAGTGTACGTGTAAATGTACACACACATGTACGTAAAGAATTGTATGTATTATGTAGGCACGCAGATGTGTACCATTCTTATGTAATTATGATTGTGTGATTGTGGGAGGTTGTATGTTCGTGTGAGTGTGTATGTGTGTGTGGTGTGTGTATGTGTGGTGTGTGTGTGTCCGAATATTGTTATTTGTTATTGGAGTTAAATTCAAAATTTTTTGTTTTGTTGTTACAAACTTTCATGTTTGCGTCCAAAATTTGGGCAAAACTTCAAATTGACAACTAAAACCAAACCTGTTCAAATTGGGATGGTTTTTTTTTCATGTAACAGGCAGCGTAAGTTAGTCATGGAGCAAGACACTAACAGCATTTATCGATGAAAGGGTCGTCAGTTAACAGTAACTCCCCACCAAGTACCATCCTAACATACAAAAACAAACAAACAATTGACACATTAACATAAAAGAATAAATATAAACAGTTATCTGAAACCCTCCAACGCAACAAACCACGAAGACATTGACGACGATGATGAAGACGAAGACGACGATGAGGACGAAGACGACGATGATGACGATGACGCAAGTGCAAGTGCAACAAGTGGAAACAGCATAGGCCCGTGTGACAAGGAAATGTTTATTTATTGACGCATCGTAAAATCTTCAAAACCACTTCTGCTTGTGTCTCAACGTCAACGCAAAACAAACATCAACATCAACAAACATCAACATCAACAAGTATCAACATTAACATCAACAAACATCAACATCAACAAACATCAACACATCAACAAACATCAACATCAACAAACATCAACATAAAAAAACGTCAACAACAACACATCAACACATCAACAAAAATCAACACATCAACACATCAACAAACATCAACATCAACAAACATCAACAACAACACATCAACACATCAAAAAACATCAAAAACAACACATCAACAAACATCATCACACCAACAGGCACACATCAACATTTGCACATCCGTACATTTGCACACCACATCTCTTCAACACGCACTTCACACGAATCACAGGATGCAAACACGAAACGAACGCAAACATTACATCACTTCCATGAAAACAGTTTGTTCTTCGTGTGTCCAGTTTTTTACACAAACACAAATTTCACGATTTTCAGACAGATGCATCAGATTCCAAAGTAAAATGTTTGTCTTCACACAGATCAACTACATGCAAAACGATTAATGTTTATAAACGTGTATTTATTTAAAAAAATTTCTAAAGTGTAATGATTTTAATTACATTAACTTGAAAATATATTTACAACAAGAACGTGTAGTAACACACACACACACACACACACACACACAACACACACAACACAACACAAAGACACATACACACAACACACACGCACAAACACAAAAACACACATGCACGTGCACATACACACACACACACACAGACAGACAACAAACACAATCGCACTCATACAATTCATCTGCTTCAACGAACGAACATGCATTCGTGAATAACGATCAAACTCACACATAAATCTTTGAAAAAAAAATACTTGAAAAAAATTAACGAAAAAATCGAAGAAAAACGTAAAAAATAGAAATAGAGAGATAAATAATGCCGCGTGCATACTGCAGCCAGTCTGAGAGAGAGAGAGAAAAAAAAAAGAAAGAAAAAGAGAGAGAGAAAAGAGAGGAAGAGAGAAATTCTTACAATCGGATGAAAAAAATTTGTTTGGATGGCAGTACTGAGGAGCTGTGATGGGATGATAGAATGATGGATAATGATAATAATTAGAAAAGTTCAACAAAGAAAAGTTGGAAAAAAGATAAGGAGAAAAAAGGAAAGAAAGAAATAGAAAAAAAAACATAGAGAGGAAGAGAGAAAGAGAGGGAGAGAGAGAGAGAAAGAAAGAGAGAGAGAAAAAGATGGAGAGAAAGTTTTTTTTAGACTTTTGTTACGAGAAGGGAAAAAGATGTATCAATAGAACTAGTGGAAATCATTAAATGAAAATAATAGAAATATGGAACAAAACAGAGAGAGGGGGATAGAAAAACAGAAAGTAAAAAGAAAATTATTGAGAGAGAGAAAAAGAGAGAGATAGATAGAGAGATAGAGAGAAAGAGAGAGATAGATAGAGAGATAGAGAAAGAGAGAGAGAGAGATAGAGAGAGAGAGAGAGAAAGAAAGAAAGAGAGAGAGAGAGAGAGAGAGAGAGAGAGGGAATAATATCTAAAAATAACAATGGAAGGCGAGCAGTTGTTTTTGTTATTGTTTTGAAATGCAATGCAATTTATCATTACATCATTATCATTTTCGTCATCTTCCTTAACTTTGCTATCATCAACATCGTCATCGTCATCGTCATCATCGTCGTCGTCATCATCATCATCTTCTTCAATTGTGTAATTATCATCATCATCTTCTTCTTCTTCTTCTTTTTCTTCTTCTTCTTCTGTATCATCACAGTCATTGTCGCAAATTATTCACTTTGAGAATGTCATCATTTTTCTAGTCATTTTTGTCATCATCATACTCATTGCTACTTACTTAATCATATCACTTATCATCACCGTAATCATTAAAATATTGTTGCTGATATTATTATGTAGAAAATAAATACAAGGATTCCAATAGTGATAATCGTTAGAGAAGTCAAAACATCATCGTCATCATCATCGTCGTAATTATCACCATCATCATCAACATTTTCATAATTATCATCTCCACTACCATCACCGTCAATCTCAACATCCCCATCATTATCACCATCATCATCATCATCACCATCATCATCATCATCACTATCATCATCACCAACATCACCATCATCATCATCATCGTCGTCGTCGTCATCATCGCTCGCCTCTTCAACCCAACCGTCATTAATAAAAATAAATTCACACACCAACCCTTTCAAAAGTTCCTAGCATTCTTGCAAACAACAACAACCTTAACAACAATAATATTTCAATTAATATTAATAATAATAAAAAGAAGAAAAACAAAATAAGAAGAAAATAATGAAAAGAAAAATATTAACAATACCCGAAATCTATATTTAATAACTCACCCAAAATCATAAGAATCGTTCTATAAGTAGTTAATTATTCTAACAGTTAAAACAAATTTTTAAAAAAAATTTTCTTGTAATTACCATTTTCAATTAAAATAAGAAACAAATAGTTCTAAGAACTTTGAATAAACTCAGAAACCACAAAATCGATACCAATAAACACCAAGAAATTTCAAAAATCCCAACAAATCAATTGACGAGGAGATGGCTCATATGGTAGAACTGCCATGTTTCGAATCACCGTTATGACGCTGTGACTTGGTTCGAATGGTGTCTATCCGAAATTCAAAGACTATCATACTAACTACGTGTGTGTACGCTATGCAGTGACAGTTCGTGTATTAAGAAAGTTTGATTAGAAAATGATAAAGAACGGAAATAAATCTAGTATCGTATCTCTGTGACTTATCAATTGTTGCACAGCAGTAACAACAGCCACAACAACTAAATAAACAACAACACGAAAAAATATCGAGTTTGTATGACTTTTGAAACAAAACATATGTACAAAGCTGAAACGGCTTTAATGAGAAACAACAAGGACACCAGCAACAACACCAGCAACAAACTCATAAAATACTA